TTAGTATAAATATTTGGTCAGTGGATTCTCCTCCTCAGAGGGAGTGAGTTATTGTTTATGCACCGAAACCTGTTACCAGATGCTTGTCAACTGATAAGACCCAATCACAGAGGGACTAACAAAATTGTTAAAATATTCAGTGGGAATGGGATACCAATTTGGCGGGGTAATTTGAGTTGATAAACGAATTTGAGTGGCAGGAGGGCGCACATTGCATGTCGTAAATTACACGAATTAACATTTATGGCAATCAAATATTTATCGCTCAATGAAGAAAGTCCATCAGGCATAGCCGACAGGAAACTTCCTCCTCAGCGCCCAAGCACCAAAAAACTTACACGGACACTCAGTTAATTGCCAAAAAAATATGCGCACAACGTGGAGAACCATGGCATCGTAAAATTTTCAAAAATAAACGAGCGAAAAATTGAAGTAGACAGAGTGCAGAAACAAATTAAAAATAAAAGACAACAAATTTAGGGCTTGCCAATGTTTTCATTTTATCTTGGCGTATTTTTTTGTTTTTTGCCGAGGTATACAATTTTGGTTGCCCATTGGAACAAACAGAATCGTATCTATTTTTTGTTGTCCATTTTTTGGTTTTGGCACGCTTTTAGATAACTTGGTGAATGAACCCACATGGCAGACATGTTTCTCGTATATTTTTGCACATTTTCCTTCTTTTCTCTATCGTTCACTCAGACTCAGACTTTTCGACGTGTTTTGGCTGCTCGCCCTGAAGTAATCGCAAAGTTTTGTATCTGCTGCAAGTTTTTATCGCAGAAAATTTGCGCATTAATGCGGCTAAAGAATGAACAAAGTTTTCAATAACTCGTTTGGACTTTAAGAAGTAAATCAGAATTTTTCGAATTGAACAAGTAGCACTTGTGGTGTGGGGTATACTAAATCAAGAGCTAATGCTCTAAATGCTAATGGAATGTGGTTTTCAATAGTGCTGCACCTCAAATGTTTGTACAACTAAGCTGATTATTATTTCTTGTTTTCATCTAAAAAATGTACAATTATTTTGATTTAAAAGAAGAATTTAGAGAAGTTGTGTTATTTCTTTGTTTCATCGTTAACGAATTCTCGTTTTTGATCTGAATCATTGGTCATTAAAAATATAATCCGCTTCCTCCTAAATGACATGAAAACAATTCAAGCGCAGCTTCAATCACGTTAAGAGTACAAAACTAAAAGTCAAAAAAAGTAAAATAAAACTAAAAAAATAAAGAATCGCTGGAAATTCATGCAAATGCAAGCAACTGAGGAAGCATTCTTTAAAAGGCAAATTCAGGGAAAATGTCGGGAGAAAACGAAAAATCGCCACAGGCACAACAAATAAATAAATTGACCATTAAAATAATTGCTGTGCCTAAAATGCGTCTCGTACGTGGCTTGTAGCACGCTTTGCTCGTGGTTGTTGCATTTGTTTCTTGCAACAGTCACATGTTGTTGCTTCTGTTGGCGCTGCAAATGTTGCAACAACTTGTCAAACATTTGAATTACAGTTACGAAACCAATAGCGATGCCAAGTGACCGGCCCCTCGCCGTTTAGTTTTATTTAGTTTGTTTTTTCATTGGCCAAATTTGGCTAAATTTAATGAAGCAATTAAATGTCTGTATAGAAAAGTCATACACAAGCAAACATTAAACATTTCAAATTGGTAATACTCGTATTTGCCAAACTGGTCGCATGTCTGCGGGCAATACTGGAAACGCTTTGATGGCTGGGATTTTGGGAGGTTAAATTATAAAATGCCTCAAGCTTAGTATTAAAAATTAGAATTAGTGTATTAATGCAAGTTTTGACATTTAATTAAATAATATAAATGCGATCCTCAAAAAAAAGATAGTACTTTTTCTAACGCATTCCAATTTACCTATGCCGCGACCTACGTGCATCGCGTAAATGATTTGCAACAGATGTTGCTTTCCTTTTCAGAATATTTCGAGTATCCCAGAAGCGCACAGTTTGAAAGCCACTGGCCGAGTTGTCCGTAGAATTCTCGCTAGACTTTCAATTAGTCACGCGCGCCCCAAAGCCATTGAAGCATAAATCTAGACATTGTTGTACGAACAGACAGCCTGACAGACTGCTTACTGGCAAACTGACAGACTGGATGGCTGAATGCCTGACTGACTGGCAAAGAGACATATGAATGTACATATGTATGTATAGACGGACAATCTCTGGCCATGATTCTGACCAGTCTGCGAGGACTGCCGGAGTCTGTCGCCTTTTTCCCAGCGCGGAAAGAAATATTTTAAGCTGTCAAATCGTTGACACACGCCTGTCGTTTCTATCTTGTTCCAGAGCCCGTTGCCGTTGTAAATCACTCGATTAGTCTAATTGTTAAAATCCACGCCGGGAGTGGAGGAGAATCCGTCGAAGCCTGGAAGTCCCAGAAGATTTGGTCGCCCATGAACATGGAGACACACCAACATCAATGTCAAGTTTCGTCTGAGGTCATAAATCGTGTTCTGTTTCGGTCGACTTGGCATTGGGATTCGGAGGTACAGAGGGAGATCTGTCTAATGTGTTTCTAAATAGTTGTGACAAATGCACAAGATATTTTCACAGCCAAATCACACAACACACTTAATTGTGGAGATAGCTAATTAGTAAACTTGTTAGGGGCGCATCTATTTCGTCGATGTTTATTGAATGGGACAGTCAGCAGCTGTTAGGAATGCCTGGGAAAAGTCTGGAGGCAATGAATGAACCATTGTTAAGAGATGAGTAAATTAAGTATGTATTTAAGGTAAAAATACTTAAAAAAAAAGGTTTTAATATTCGTATATAATTCCATTAAATGTTTCCCAACTATGAACAACCCAGAGGAAATGTTTCTTGAAAAATTCCTGACAAGCTGTGAATATTCTTTGTCACTCAAGCAAATCAACGGAATGAGAGCGTGTAAATTTTGACACATGCCCCTCATTTGACTTCGTTTCCTCGGCATCCGCTATGTCCATATCTGAAAATCATGGGAACCTATACATTTTGTGCTCGTTGTCTGACCAAAAATGTAGTACATGCCACAATTGCTCTAAAAACGAGCCAATCGTTCGACATTTAGGTACGTACATAAGAAGGGGAAGGCCATAAAAGGCTGGCCATTTATATTTGGACTCAGTTTGGCAACTAGAAATAAGTATTGTCAGCTTTAATTAAGTGAAGAGACCAATTTAAATACTTCTGTATAAAGTTCCCCCTTTTGCAAAAGAGACGTGCAGGAATTTATTAATAAACTCGGAGCGCATCGCATGGCTGTCATAAATCTTTCATACTTTAAGGCATATGCAAAAACAATGTTTTTAATTTTAAATCACTTCCAGTCTGTGGATATTGCTACTCCTCCTTGGCTTCTCGTTTTAATTAAGTGCACACTCAATGCCTTTGCCTTGGTCTGTGTCTGGGCCATAATTTTCATCTTTTTGTGCCGGAAGGGTTGTTCCAGGGGCATGTGGTATATGGCAATGGAGGAATTATATCAAAATACTCATATATCTGCTGGTAGATATATCTGTGGTAGCCGCACTTGAATGTCAACTTTGCGTCGGCTGATGCAAAACAGATGATACTCGAACACATTTCCCGTTTCGTGTTTTCTTCTTGGTTTTAGCACATTGTTAGCCAATTGATTGGAGAAGTGCGCATCCGATGGCTTTCCGTGGTCGGATGCACTTTGAAATTCCAATTAACACTATCGACGGACGATTAGCACCCATTCGAGATTTGAAGATCCGCGGCAAGTGTGAAATAAAGTATGGTAACAGACGCCTTCTGGGAGGTCTAAGCTATTTTAATGGAGCAACTGTTTTACAATTGTGTTCAGAATCGTCTTAGGAAGAAATGTTTATGTAATTGTTTGTGACTAAACAAATTACATTAAGTAAATTTTAAACTTGCATAGCAGAGTGTATTAATAAACATTCCCTACCATTTTGGGTGGTTTCCAGTTTTTACAACGAATTCATATTTTAATATGTTCATCTTTGCACGAAACTAAAAACTAACGGAAATAAAAACCCATTTCCCTGCCAAGGAAAGTCGCTACGAAAATATCAGCCTGTAAGCCAATATGACTTAATCAAAACGCCATCAAAACAAATTTATGTTGGCCGTTTTGAGCATTAGAACTGCTTGGGCTTCAAACTGGTTTCGATTCGAGTCCCAACGGCGAGATGATCACATTTCAAAGTTCCAATCAGACGGACCACAACATGTACAACGATGGATCATGGAGCTGGCGTTAAATCGCTTGTAAATGAGTGACAACTCAGCGGCTTAATTACAAACTGGATCACAGCTCGCCTGTCGCAAGATCTTAGCCCCGACAATTTTGGATGGGTTAGATGACAGCACCCAGAGTTGGGACTCCATTCGGGATAAGTTCGACTTACCTGCTTCAGATCCAGCTGGATGGTCACATACTCAAACTGCCGGCCACCCTGCAGCGTTGGTGATTGCCACCAGCCTTCTTCGAATCCTGATCCCGATGCCGACGAGATCAGCGACTGTATGGAGCGCTGTTTGGCCCGATCCGAGGAATGGGCATTGCAGATGCCACACGGCTTGGCGCCGACCTGTTTGCAGTACTCCTCGGCACCGTCCTGGCCACAAGTGGCATTCACCGAGATCTGAGCCCGGGGAACCACATTGAAGAGCGGCGGATAAAGGCCGCCGGAGGAACTAGATGAGTACAAGTCGTCCGTTTTAAGCAATCGAAGGGCTGCAAGTGGAGTAAAAACAGACATTAATTTCGTTTGCCATGTGTAATGCTATAATTAACTTTATTTAAGCTTGTGGACTGAAATAGCATTGCCCAGTAAATACATTTTTGGCTTCTTGTAATGTACTACTTATCTGAAAACAGAAGGAGCTCGTATCATCATCTCCCGAACAGCGTTTAAGTATTTGGTTCCAACACATTTTCACCCTCTTGTCTAACGTAAATCAGATGGTGAGTCCGTGTTGAGGGAAAAACAGTTCATTTATTGTGTATTGTTTATTGTTTGTTAATTGTTCTTCCTAAGGTAGGTTTATCTTTTCGTCCTGTTTGTATAATCTCAAGTTAAAAGAAAGTGTTTAATGGGATGTGCTCTGCTCCTAGTAATAACTGGAGAACTCGTAGTACTCCTCCTCCAATTCGGTCAGGTGGTCGTCCAAATCCTTAACAATTTCGGATATTTTTCGGTCATACTCGACTTGTTTGTCACGTTGCAATTCCGAGTATCTATTCATTTCCTCTTCGATGGACAAAGAATCGTAAATAATGTGGTACTCCTTAATGTCATTGACTAGCTTCATTAGAGCTTCTGCTGCGCGAATCAAATTGCCGGAACGCAATTGCATTTCAAGAGCATGCATTTCTTGTTGCGTGGCATCAGGGATTTGGCCTCGAGTTCCAATGGACACCATTCTAAGGAGCTCCTCAAAGTTAAGCAATATAAGTTGAACGTTGTCATTTAGTTGCGTTTTAAAGGAGTTTAGCAGGGCCTCGTCCTTCAACTTTGGGATGGTTGAGTTCTCAGCCATATTTTTGCTTCTTCTCTTCTATGTGAAATGTTTAAATTTAAAAGAATATATATATAAAATATATATAAAAACCTTAGAATCCCACTACACTCCTGAAGTTCTAGATTCCCTCGAGTTCAAAGTCACCTAATTATTAAACTCTACTGAAAATGAAATAAATCAATAAACGTTATTAATCATTGCGAATCAAAGAGGTTAAGTTTCAATCAATGCTGCCGAAATCAGCTTGACGCCCCATTATTCAAATTCGGACAGTTTTTCCCAGGCCAATCAATTAAATTGCTCAAACCGAACAAGTCGAGAACAAGCCCTCAAGACAACATTGCCAATAAATCACCTACTGGGGCAGCTGCTCTGGATTGCTGTGAACTTTGCCATGAGAATTATTGATTGGTTGACTTGGCTGGTTGGCTAGCTGGCTGGATTGCATGAAAAATGTACAAGTATCTCAACCAAAAGCTGGGCAACTTTCGAGATAAACTTTATCGCTGACCAACAAACGGCAGTTGTAGTTGGTAGTTGGGGCCCAGATGTTGACCTGGTATGCCATTTGCATGTTTTGGTAGCTCCAAATTGCAGCCTGCTGCCGATTGCAGTTGTTTCCTTTCGGCTGCCCAGCTTTTTTGGCAATTGTCAACATAAAACTTTTGCGAACAAGACAAAAATGTTGACGTAATTGCAGGAAAATGGCATATAAGTTATAGGGAAGGATCAACAGCAAACTTTGGGGCGAATGAGAAAAGTTGGGAACTTGGCCTGGGAACTTGAATTTGAAGTTTCAATTGTTTAAGTGAGGAACGAAATGCAATGAATCTTCGCAAGAAAGGAGATTATACATACAAATGTGTATTTTAGGAAGCTTAAAAAAGTTAATAGGCATTGCAATTTTTTCCAGTGGCTTCTTTTAAACCTTAAAGCCGCATTTTCTTTGCCAATCTCAGCATTTTAAGTCTTTTTAATGGTGTATACACATTTTCATTTTTCGTGGCGCGTACAATTTGTCAAAACATTTAATCAGCAATAGTTTTCTCACTTAAGCTGTCAGCGCTGGAAAACGTGAATATATTTTAGAGGGGGCATTTGAGTAGCAGAGGGGCGGGCTGGGAGCTGAAAAGGCCTAGACATGGCTCGGAATAACCATTGAAAAGGCCACCTCCAGCCTCAAGTCTCCAGTTATTTAACTTCATTGCCTTTTTTCTGCTTTTGGCTACCGCAAATTTGTCATTTGTCAAAACATTTAAATGCCATTTGCCGGTTTCCTCTTGAGTTGGGCGATTTTGACAGCTGTCGATAAGTTTTTCTTTCACGCTTTTAACACTTTACGCTTGAACTTTGCCCAGAGCAGTTTTTCCTGCTTTTTGCTTTGACTAGAAGACATTTGTTCGAATCGCTTTAAATCAGTTTTTGAGGTACGCCTGGTTTTCTCAGTATTTTTTTCCACAAAGTGAAAGTGATAGTCTTACTGCTATGTTTCATACTATTATTGGCTGGCATGTTTGGTGTCAATTATGGATGACTGAGGAATTAGTAATTCGGAAATACTTTATTGTAACCAAAGCGGACTTTGTGTTTGATTTATTGAAGGCTATTAGTTTGCTTAAACCGAAGATAAATTTCCTGATACGAAATAATGAATTTATAATTTACAGTGCCTTGTTCATTACAAATCGATTATTTTGAATTTTCAGCGCATCTTACCTCCTCAACTCCAATTACTTTTATACACGTTCGTGTCTTCTTTAATAAAAATGTAAATATTTAATTTTGGGAGCAGCTCCTTGTCTTCTTTGTTAAATATATGTATATTCATCATACCCATCGTCTTTGCCCTGAATTCTTCCTTCGTGTGTGCATCTTTGCAATTGAGGCGTTTGCCCTACATGCTCCTCACATTGAGGAGTCTCTGGGCATTAAAGCAAATTTATGGCCATTTTTAATAATATTCGGCAGCAGGCTGTCAAAATGTTTAAAATCTTTCGTCACGCTGTCCAGTCTCGCTGTACTGTTTATTGCTATTTTTAGCTACCAAAAATCATTATTTGTATGCCAGTTGATGGCAATTTGGTTATGCAAAACAGTAGCAGAATTGATTGGACAGGCGAATAATGTCCCTCGGACAGGAAGCACTCCAGTTGCGAACTAACTGGGGATTACCTTAACAGCCAGCTTGTCTATGCCAGCAATTGGTTAATTTCCATTGCCATCTTTGAAGTTGCATTGCAATTGCAACGACTTAATAAGCAGCTGGAGAACGAGGAGATGGAGTTGCCCCATTCCGTGCCTCTGAAATTTTAGCCTCCAGCTGTCGGTTTGTGTGCATAATTGGCCAGAAGGAACACAAGAATGGCTGGGAGCAACCGGGAGCTTGCGGGGCACAGATAGCCAAGTCCCCAGCTGCCTGTCCGAAAATAGTGAAAATATTTCCGTGCCGAGTGCGCCACGTCGATATGAATGAAACGCAAAACAGTGAAATGCTTTTAGACTCTAGAAGCATGTGGCTTCGAGAAGTTCCCTACAGATTAATTGCCTTTCCTGTGTGCGTCTATAATGGTTTATATTCACCTGAGATTGGTCAACAATAGGTAAGGCCTCTTGATTCTTCAGTTTAACTCAGCTTTCACACTTCTTTATATCACACACAAGTTGATTTCTTCGAAAATGATTTGCACATAATAACAAATAGAGCAGGAACTTGCAACTATCGATATATTTGCATTTCTTAATAGGGTTGGAAAGTAATACTGACTTATCGGCACTTATCGATATCGAAAACGATGCAAGCTTATGTAAATAAAACTATTTGATTGTATGTGTATACTTATGAGAAATTAATATAATAATACGATGTACCTTTGATCATAATTGACTTTCATATAATAAGGTAAGACTTGACATGTAGCCCAAGGGCAGTTTCTTTAAAACTAGTGATAACTCTGTCGCTGCATTATTATTGGAATGAATCACTCAATTTTCATTTAATAAACTCTAGCCAAGTGAAGAAAGACCAGCAGAAATCACAAAGCTCCCCAAACACCATTGCCCCCTAATTGCATCACCCACACATCGCGCTTGTTGTTGCTGTGAGTCATGCAAACAACAACGGACTCCATTGAGTGGCAGCTACCAGTCTTCAATACCAAATCAAGCATTACTTGCATAACCCATTGGAGTCATCGACCACATTGTCCCATACCCATCATGATGAACATCATCATTGCGATCGGGCGGCGGGCATGGATAAATATTTTTCCAAAACACAACTCGAACATGGAACCGAGAACTCGCACTGGATGCGCCTCTTGAGGAGACGTCGGGAAAAGCCAGTAGCCGGTAGGGAAAGAGTTGGTTGGCTGGACAGACAGAGCATGTGTTCTTCTCACCACGAGCCGAGCATCGGTCAGCAGCTTTTGAAGCACCCACTGACGGGACCCAACAAGAACTCAGCTCCCCAACATGCGTCTGGCACCCAAGTAATCCAACTATCCAACCAACCAACCAACCAACCAACCAACCAACCAACCATCCATCCATCCGTGAGTCCATGTCCAAGCCATCCAATCTTAACCCGTTCGTTCGGTTCCCACTGTTTCCCGGCTTTTAACGCAGCGCTGCACTGATGCATGACCAAACATCTTCAGTTCTGGTCAGTTTGGAGCTCCGTGCTCCCCCTCACACCGTTCATTTTATTTCTTTTCTTGGAAATCTGTTGACGCAGCCCGGCGAGACAACCCCGTGTGTCCGTCGTCTTGTTTGTCAGTCGTTGGTTTGTTAGCCAGGTTTGTTTATTTTCAATAAATATTTGACATTTGTCTATGCATTTTTCCCGAAGCTCGGCGGAGGACAAGTCAAGCGTTTGGCTGCCAACACCGACCGGGTACATTAATTTTTCAAGTACTCGAAACCAGTAACATCCCCTTCTCCTAACGAAAGGTTCGGCTTACACACATAGAACCCGCCCATCGAGGGTCGTAAAAGTTTGGCTAAAACTGTCACCTGTCACACACACCAACTGAAAAGCTCTGACGCGCTGCAGTTCCATTTCATTACCCTTTCATCTTTGCGGATGTTTGATTTGAACTTTGGATGCAAAAGGAAAGGAAATTGTTTACCAGAAAACTTTGAATGTGTGAAATTCCCCATGAAGTGTTGACACATACGGGTCTGATCTAATTTTTAAGAACACTACCAAAACAGTGCTCTCTAATAGCAGATTGTGTTCTCGTTTAGGAAAGGTCCAATTGAACACGATTTAAAAAAATCTACTCAGTTCGATAGCACTCAAAAATACTTAAAAAATCATTAATTCTTGGCACTGGCATTGTTCTGCTTTGTTGCCTAAGGAGATCAAGAAATTCCCTAACAATCATTAAGCTCATTACTTGAGAGTTCTTAATTAAGCGACTTGTTTTATCTTTTATCTTATCCGGGAATCAGAGTTGTGTAAGCCGCTGCCAAAATATTTTCGTGTAGCGGTTCACTTAATAATTTAATAAGCCCCACGAAATCATGAAAATGTTCAAGTCTTTAAGGCGAACTCACCTCGCTGCACTTGTGCTGAGATAATTATCACGATTTATGAGTCAAAAGCTCTTATCTGCCACTTGCAATCATTGCACGAAAAGGCGTCGAAAGGCCCATTCAGCCATTAGCCAAAATGCATTGCGGCCATTAGATGGGAAAGGTGGACAAATGGCTCCATCGTGTTTGCCAATCACTCGAAATGCATTTTCAGCATCGTTTTCCAAGTCAATGTTTGCCCCGCGTTGCCGCGTTGTTAGCCAACTCTGCTCCGAATGCTGCACATGCGCAAACGTTTCTCGAGATCGGATTTTGGTTTTTGGTTTTTTGGGGCTTATGGGGCTCCTCTCATATCGCACTCATTAGTTACGCCTGAGTGGGTTTTGGGTGAGCTTTGTGATATTCGATATCACTGCCAAAGACCCGCGAGGGGACACGAGTCGCCCACACTTCTCCTCGGTAGGTTTCTTGGGAATCACTTTCAGATTTTTCGTGCACTGTTAATTTGTCATCAGCTGTCGGATTTTATTAATATCTTGGTTGGTTTTAATTTTCGCTTTCTGGATCCAGGCGGCAAGGCGCGAGTCGCATAATAAGTAATGTCATAATTAAATTTATAAAGTCTGACTCATCTTCACCACAAACGGACTGGTACTACTGACAAGTTGTGTCGCCGACACTGTCGTCTGTCTAGACAAACTGAGATTATGACTGTCCCATCGGACTATGGCTACAGGAAAAGCCAAATGCGAAAAAGGGAAACTTTAGGAAGTTGAGGTGGAGTTGTGGCATTCTTTGGTGGCACAACAAAGAAGCGAGATAATAATGAAGTATGAACGGAATGGGTTACTTCATGCGTGTGCAGTTTGCAGAAAAAATGATACTATAGAAAGTTTTAGTTTGTTCACATTAAAAGAATATTTTTGAGCTTCGATTTTAATAGCATTAAATGTATATTCATAAGAGTTTTTAATATATGAGTAATTTAAGATGAGTATTTAAATGTATATACCCATTATATTGCATAGTACGTCAATTGTCTTATAAACGAATTTTTTACAAGCAATTCACAAGTTGTGAATTGCTTGAACGGATTTTATAAGACAACCCATAACTTCATTACTGCACGTTAAATGACATTATGTTCGTTTTAACGACTTAACCGGCAGTTAAATCAAACATTAACTGGGTCGTCCGGTCATCCGCAGGCATTGAGTGCTATTAATTCGAATTGGCAGCCATTAATGGCACACGCTGTACGCGATCGGCAATAAACAAATCATTTAGCCACAAGAGAGCTGTCCCATTCGGGTTTTTAAAGTCAACAAAAAATAATAAAAAACTAAATGAAACACGCCCCAAATCGATGTTTTGGACAAACTTCAATAAATCTCTGGCGCAGTTTTTTTTTTGTTTGCCGCCGACCAAATCAGGTTGGCTGCCAACCTTCCTGGCAATCACAGTTGACTTGTAAACTATTTAATTAGCACATGGTCCGTAAGCGTGTTAGTTTTGGTTGTAAAAAGGCGCCGACCGAGTGCTCAAATCACGGGGAAGTCAACCCACGATCGCGCTGCAGGCGCCATTTCAGCCATTTGAGCCATTTGATGGCGCCGCCGCCGTTTTGGCCACCAACTAAAGTTGGCCAATTGTTAGGCCTCCTCCGAAACCCCGTTCGTTTCCGTCGAAGGAGCTGGTTAATTGTTCATACACTGAAGAAATTGCATTAATTTCGCTTGTTTATGTTGCATGTCGCCCGACGCTGATGTTGATGATTCGTATCTCTCATTTTGACTACAAATTTTTATCGCCTTGTCGCCGACTTACTCATCTAACCAGTTTCGCCTCAGTTTCTTCCTATTTCTCCGGCTTGTTGCTTTGTGTTATTGCCATTTGATAAGCCTTTATCCTGTCGCGTCAGCGTCACAAAAAATGTTGCTATTTGAGTGGCAATTAACGATTTTATTGAACAGGCTGCTGTGGAATTATCTCCTAAGTTGAATGCGAAAATGGTTGAGAAATTTTCAAGCCAAATTGATTGGGGTAACTGTTAAGCCAATGCGACGTTGATATAAAACGAACAATTTTGGTTGAGCAAATTGCGAATGCAGTATGGTTACGATTGCAAGTGATTGGAAAATTAGAAAACTTTGGGGAAATACAAAATTTAATGAAGACTATGCGACTATTGCGACTATTGCGACTATTGCGACTATGATATATTAACCATAAAACTAGTAACCAATGTTCTGTTGAAAAAAACTACTATCATACTTCAATTTATAAAAAAATTGGTTGATTTGCGGTTTAAAAATGGCAATTTGGCACAAAAGTAATTTGCAAACAACATTTTTATTATTTCAAGGATTCAAAAAACCGCAAGGCAATTATGACATACCGACCGCAGTTAAAATAAATTTAAAGTAAACTCGAATGCTCATTTAAGAAATGCCAATAACTGGTTTCAGCCACAAATAGCCTTCAATTCGCATTAATTAAGCAATTTGTCAGGCAGCGTGTCGCGACGAGTCGGTTAACTTTTCTGATCCCAATCCCCAAAAGGCTCCATACCTCCATTGAATCGTATCGGATTCTCCTGGCCACTTTGCATGCAACGCGTCAATTTCTCATTGACTGGCCTTGGCCATCTGTATTTAGAACACTAATCAATGGCAATGCCAAAATGTTTCAATTCTCTCAAGCTGTCAGGGGCTGTAAGCCAGAAAGACAAGCCGCCAACGGCAGTGGACAGTCGGGAACTTGAACCTGAACCCCAACCCCAACCCCGAACCCCAATCTGATTCCGACTCCAAACCTGAACCTGATCTTCTAGGATGCCAGCTTTCAGCGTGTGTTGGAAACGCGTGTCTGCAGACAATTTGTTTTGTCGTTTCATTAGTTTCTCAGACTGCAACTTGATTTTGGCATTTAAATGTGTGTGGAAAACGTATTTTCCAGGCAGCTCTTTTAGCCATTACTCAAGCGTTTTGTGGAAAATGCGAGTGGGCGTTGCAGCAATTTTCAGGTGGATACCACAAGATTTTCACACTCCACGCGTGACTCATGTGCGGAGGCACGTTTCGGCAGCTGTATGTCTGTCAGTTGGTTCCCCCCTTCAAGTAAGCCCATTTTCTTCATGGTCTGAACCCAGTCCGCTGATGGATGAGCCTCCGTTGCGCCTTCAGTCGTCCATCGTCCACCACACTCAAAATAGATTGGCGAAAACTTGTCCGCACTTGTGTAAATGTGCATAAGATACGGACAAGTGGCACTAAAGATGCAACAAAAGATACTCGGGGATGTCGTCTGTGTGATTCCTAGATTAATGAACTACAGTTATTAATGGGTTCTTGACCTCTAGCGGATATACTAAATATAGTAACTTCAAATAGGCATTTTCGGGAACTTTAAAGTTCCCTGAACAAAGAAATGTTTATACTTTATCATTCGATTGGGTGGTCCTATCTACTATGCATGCATAAAAACTACATCCCATGCAATTTCCCTATAAATGATAGGGACTCTGTGAAGATCGGGGAGAGACAGCTAACTTTTAATGAAGCTTTCATCAGAAAGATTACTTAAGGGAAAACACCAAAATCACCTTAAGGAAAGCCTTTTTCAAACATTTACATCCACAGATGGCAAAGAAATTTCTTTTAACGCGAACATAAAGCATAATTAGTCCACTGAACTGACAGCTCCCCCGATTTAAGCCCTATAATATTTACACAACACTTTCAAGTGTTTTCCCCGCAGTTCCGTTTGGAAGAGATTCCGGCAAAAGAAAGCACGGATTCCCCTTCCCAGAAATGAAAAGCGTTTCATCTCTGCCAAAGTTCTGAGGAGTGTAAATGGGTGTTTTATGTGAGGGAGGAAGTTGAATGTGTTGACAAGCAGCGGCCTGATATTGATATATTTGCCACGATATAGGGTCATTAGGTTCGACGCCTGGAGACTATATAAATGCAGGTAGAAATGGAATCCGATACGGGTAACTTTGGGGATGTCGAATATGTGTTTAGCTTATCACTTGCATCGCAAACCGATACTCTGTTCCAGTCTGAGGAGCCTCACCTGTCTGCCTGAAGGTATTTATCAATGAAGTTCAATGACAGTTGCCGTGGCATTCGATCAACGATCTTTTATCAGTCTCGAAAGTATTGACAAAAGGCCTGATAAGGCTCAACGTAGTTTACAAGTTATCTCACAAAACGAAACATGGACATGTTCCATTCAACCTGTTGATCGGTTGGGGATATGTGCCATTGGTTGACACTTCGATACTGTTGAGATGGGTAAGGAGTTTATTGGTGAACGATAGTGGACATTGTCGGCATTTTATGGGCAATCTTCTGATATTGTAAGGTCTCCATTTAAAGAAGGAGAAATTGACTTTCCCTGCAAATAACCGACCAATTATATGTAAAAGAAGAATTTTGGTTTCCTAAATTAAGATCAAGATGTTAACATTGATCGAGTCTTCGCTTTATACAAAGCGGCTAACCTCTATAAGTTCACCGTAATTCCCCTTATCTACTATTTAAGATTGATTTATTCACTAGTTTGGGAACCATAACTTTTTGCGTTTCTTTTTAATTTAGTTACTTAACAAGCTGCAGCTGCTTCCCCTCACAATTCCCATTCGAACTGACCCACATTTTCTCGGGAAGAAAACAATCTGAAAACTAGAAACAATTTATTCGCTCGCCCATCTCCGTCTCCTTATCTCAAGTGTCTGCACTAACGAGCCTCGAATTTGTTATACACTCCGCGCAAGGCCCCTGAATATAGACCCTGGGCTCCCACTCCAAACTCCAAACTCCCAGCTCTCCACCCATTCCCATGACCATACTATCTGGCGTGTTCTGACCCACCAACGTGTGACTGCACATCAATAGCCGCTGACCCGTTAAATGCTCCGGTGGCCGTCATCATTCTGTTCAGTTCAGTTCAGTTCTGTTCTGTTCTGTTTCCTCTGTGGTTGTGGTTGTTAGTTTAATGCCGGGCTTTGGTCGACGTCGCCGACTCGCAGACGGCGTCAATGTCTTATCAAAACTTGGTCTATAACATTAATTTATGGCCAATGCAAACACAGGAGAGTGTTTGGGGTAGACCACTTCAAAGTGCCCGGAGTATTTCTATTCTGCTTTTCTGGTGCTCTCCCAAGGGCTAAGATCGAACATCTCGGACCAACAATTAAGTTCCAGAGGAGTAATGCTCCTCAGTTGTGTAAACTCCAAGTCGTTTTGATTCGCATGATGTTGATATAGGAGTTGTGAGGTGGATTTCCATAGATCATTTGTGGCGTCTGCTGGTCAGCCAAGTTTGGTGTTAAACTTCCCTTTATTTGGTCCACAGAACTGTTTGTTTACAAACGCCTCCCAGTTTTACTCAGTTTTCCCAGTTCGTGTTGTTTATACGCAAAGTTTCTGGCGTTCCCAGTTTGTGTGTTCCGTTTCGTGGTCTATAAAACTGTTTTAATGGTCTTCAACTCTAGTTTAATGCTGCCGGAGTGCTCGATTACTTTAAAAGACTGGGGCAGAATTATTTGAAATATATATTAAGTTTCAATATCAAATTACCCGAGGAGCAAGAACAATGCTCCACGGTCCATTGTTCTGTTTAAATGAGTTCAACAATTGTTTTCCCATCGCCCTGCCCTTTGTTGTTGTGTTGATGTGAGTAGGCTGGACTGTCGAAAGTTGCGTTTTCTTAACTGGCCAGTTGCTTTATGCATCCATCATTTTGTGCATTTCCGTTAAGACAGCGCAAATTATTGGTCCGACCAGGTGTTACTTGGCCGATTTATAAAGTCCATTTAAATAAATTATCACAACAAAGGGCATGTGAAGAACAAAGAAATGAATGCAGGTGAGAATGAGAGATTTATAAACGATCAACAAGTTGAGTTACAAAGGGAATACCTCGTTCCCGTAGACATAGAAAAACACTCGAAGAATGCTTCTAAAAATTCTTTCATAATTTTATCTAGCTCCAATAAATTCGGTTAAATATCTTAGCACATTATTTACTGAGATACTGTTTCCCCACTTCACCATTAGAGTGCATTAGAGTTTCATCATAAATGTATATTTTTCACCACAAAAACTCTTGACCAACTCGTTTGAGCCCCTTCAAGTTCAATACTTTTGCTTTCCCGCATGGGTTGCAGGCAATAGAAAAGCAGAGTTCACTCAACTTTTACAAACTTCACATGTCAATAAAAAATTAAAAACAAATAAAACTCAATGACAACAGGCAGCAGCCGAGCACTCTACGCATTTTCCCACCAATCTGAATTTCCAGAAGCAGGCGAAGAGAACTGAAGTGCGCTTTTCATCTGTAAGCATTGTGTAATGCAGTTAACAAGAAACAAACAAAAATAAAGCAAGGCGAAACGAAACGAAACGAAACTAAATGAAGAAGGAGAGAAACCAATGAAGAATGCATTTTCTCAAACACTTTTCAATCGGCAGCGAAAAGCAAACAGCAGCTACATATGAGTTGGCCATGACTTATAGATACCAGTATAAGGAATGTATCCGTAAGATACTTAATGAGCTGATAAAGTGTGCGTGTTTGTCCAAGTATCTGGCTGGTTGATTGGAAAACAGCCCGACAATCCCAAAATCCATTCGTATCGTTTTGATCTGGTCGAGTATCTGTATCTGTATCTGTGTTTGTGACCCATTTCGCCATTGGAAAACTTTCGTTTTCTCTAATCCAAACAAGCCAATCAATCAATTAATGCCAATCGAATCTATCGGGCGTTATAAGTACGACTTTACCGGGCAATAATTTGCGCGATCAATTCGCGTTTATGTCTTCAAGGCTTTGTCGTTGAAAAGTGTTTCATTGAATTGATTACCAATTGAATGATAGAATTGATTTGCAATCATTATGGCATCAGGAAACCATTACGCTTTGCAAACTTGCTCCACACTTTCAGGTCAACAAATTTTGTTCCGACTGAATAGTATTTTTCGGAAATATTCGTATTAAAAGGAAACTATGTTATCACAAAACTATTGATTACCCATTAAAAGATATAAAAAGAAAACTATCCCTATTTGATTAGGTATAATAATAAGCTATTCTATATGCTCGTCGTTCGTATCTTTGTCTTTCCAAATTTGATTCTCGCATAATATTAGTTCTTATCTTTCTAGGCTAATCATCAGCAATTTTTATTAACCACACTATGGCATTAAGAAGTGTTTATCATAAAACAGCTTTCGAATGAAATGTATCCAAATATTTCCACACGCAACTTGGAAGCATAGCCAATTTGCTTTGGCTTTGTTGTATTCCGGAACAAATTTTAACGACAAAAACTGTGGAAGAAGTGGACACAGTAAGCCACTTAAGTTTTATAACCAAGGCAGTCAAGAAGATATTTTAATAAACCCTTTCTAGGGCCATGTGTGTGGGTTCTGGGTTCTTTTTGTGAAACATATGTTGCCATTAGCGCGTGAGGCATTCCAGAAGGCGATACGCTACGCATGCCTCCATCAATTATCCTCTCCGGAGAAAAGACGACCTGCCTAACAATCGACCATTGTTGGTGCTGCCTAGTTGCGGCATCTTGTGCACTTCCACATCCTCCGCCTCTCCAGAAATCGACCACAATTACACCAGGACCATCAGAACCACAGACCCTGGCGCTATTGTTGTCCTCAATCCTCAATCTGTTCCCTCGCAGTGGTTCGGGGTCATGTGTTCGGCAAACAAATGCCCTGAAGTGCCCAGGGAACCACACACACGCTCGAGGACAATCTCCAGGGGTTACATAGAACATATAGAAAATCTAGCCACACATAAACATGTCCATATTGTATTTCTATTCATCTCTGTTGATCGCCTTTGTTAGCTGTGTTTATCGGTTCAATTGCCCTGACAGTTGTTAAGCAAAGGTAAGACTGTAATTTGTTTAAAAATTTATGTTTTCATTAATTTTAATGGATATAACCAACCAGGGGTTACTGCCGTCATGATCACTTGGAACATGTCTTGTAATTTTTATTCATTGTATGTTATATGTTATGTTGTCATATTTATAGTAGCTTCATATTATTTTATTCCATAACAATTAAAGATATTATGCTTATATATTTTATATATAATATTAAAATTCATGTGAAATAATTGAATTTATATAATTTCAGAATTCAGATCTCTTAGTTGTTCCTCTCGTCGTCAGATATTCAAGAAGTTCAAGCACACATCCCTCGTAATCTTTGTTTTCGCCAACTAACCGCAGTTCACACTGCCATAACCAGAGATCTATCATCTCACAGTTGGTCAGAGCGGTCGAGGCGATTCATATTCCTAATAGGCAAAGTTCACATAACAAAAAGCCAAGTTTTTTTTTCCAACTAACGACAACAAAGGCAACACAAGGCCAGGGCAACTATGTGGCAGCGACCAAAGACCTGGCGACAACCACTGCAGCATAGCCGGACCATAACTGGACCTCTCACGTAATAACGTATAGAATTTCAAAAAAAAAAAAAAAAGACAAAATAAAGAGCAGCTCAGGAAAATTAAAGAATCTCTTCCTCCTGTCACAACTTTCACATGAAAGTTCTTTCAACTTGAGCGGCCAAATATGGCAGAAACACGACCAGCGACCAGGAAACTGATGGCGAGCAATGCGAGCAACTTCTGGTGCTGCACAATCGATCAGGGAACCATATTTAGAAGAGCCCATCCATAGTTATAGACATACCTCCTCCTCCTCCGGATTTCTGTAATTTTCCGTTGCGACGACGCTGCGGCGGCGGCTTCTTCTTGGTGACGGATTCCGAGGAGGCATTAGCCAACATCGATTCCGAGTCGGCAATGTTACTTTCAATGACCAGGCCACTTTTGGTTTTGTGACGTCTCGATGATTGGGGTGACTTCTTCTTCTTTTCGGGACTTGACGCAATACGAGTTCCTGTCCAGGACACGATGTTCTGCTGGAGTTCCGAGGAGCTGTCGTTGAGCGGCAGGCTATAATCCTGGAGGTCCTTGGCACTGGAGAATCCGCGCAAGCGCTTCCTCTGCCTTTTGGCCTGGCAGTGGGTGAGCAGCAGGATGAGGATCAGGCCCAGTGGCCATTTGATATAATTTCCGATTTGCATGCTGGACGAACTAGATACACAACGATCACTAAAGGCACATTATATGCCGTTCGACTTTGAACTTGGCTATAATTTCTGTGCTCTTTTAATAAAACCTCTTGAGATGCAGGCACTTATTTCTTGGTATTTTCATTCATAATATTTTTATTTTCACTGCACAGATTGTTCGCTTTATTATTTCTTTTTCAAATCATTTACGATTTCCGCTCGAATTTTTTCTCCACTTTTTTACGCATTTGCTCTTGCGAATCTTTCACTTTATTTGCTTTATTTTGCGTAGACTTTTTGCAACTTTGCTACTTCAAGATTTTTGCGCTATTTAATTTTATTTTTGTTTCAGACACATTTCCCACTTTCCTGCTCAGCGACAAGCAAACATTTTTCTCGCCAGCTATTTTCGTATCCTCGACGTGAAGTGTAAAAAGCGAAAAGTAAAAAATGAAGCCCGAATCGCTCGATCTTGCGTTGCAGGGAAACTCGGAAACAGCATACAGAATCGCACAGAATTCACTTATTTATTAGCAGTGGCTTATCGCATAATTGCCGTTTAATTTTATGACACATAAATAAATCGCCCAGAGCAGCGGCCGCACTATTCGAACGCACTATCATCTACAATTCACCCATCGCACAGCACTCGAGACCCGTCGCGTGTCTTGCTTCCTACGCAAACGACCGTCAAACACGAACTGATCGCGCAGCGCTGCACTCAGACCAGATCCGCGAGTGTGTGGACCTTGTGGATCGCATTGTGGATTGGTTCCTTTTGCAGCACTTCTTCTGTGTATTTCTAAAGCTGTGAAGATATTCCTTTTCTTCGATGAAAACTTACATTTGTTTTGTTGTCACTGTTAAATATCTAAATATTTATTTTTAAAAAAAGTTATATTTCGTAACCATTGAGTTTGCATGTAAACAGTGAAGTAAAGACAATGCAGCAACAGGAAACCAGGGGACTGAGGCAAGAGGAAGTGGCATTGGCCTTCTGGGAAATCTAGCACCTAGGAATGGCTATGGGTTCTAATAAGGTACATGCTTTATTGATCTTGGCCGATCATAAACTCACGACCTTTGCCCTTCATAGCTTACACTGTGAATTATTTTTACTGATGGTAGAAAAAGGTTAATTGCTCCAAAAACAAACTCAAAAGGATTCGGTGCAAAAATCTACAGACTAATTTTATTTTTGTCTCTAAATCTAAAATTTCCCTACAACCTCCACAAAATTATGCAATGGTTCTTGACAAGGGATTACTGGGTCTACTTGGGAATCTCCGAAGGAGCATGTCCCTTTTAAATTTTGTATTACAGTAAGTCCCCCATTTGAAAACCAATTTCCAAAAATCTTCATGTTTTCTTTTGGATACATATTCAATCAGGAAAAATTCTTTTTTGATATAATATTTACTTCAGATTTTCCACGGTTCATTGCCGGCTTATCAGCTGATTTATTTACATCTCTATCAGGGCCAGTTACGATCCACCATGGTGAGTTTAGTGATTTACCTGTTGCTCTGGTGGATGGTGCAAGCCAATACGTTTAACATTGTCAGGTAAACAGGCTGCAAGTCACCGAGGTAGGAATCGGGAAATTCCCGGCGTGCTAAAAAAACATTTGTAGTCCTGCGAGCACCTTGCACTTGAACCGCCTTTGTTGTCCGTCGCTTGTTTTCCTTTCCAGCCTTCGCCACATGTTTTCCACTTTATATCAGTTTTGACAGTTTCGCATTGAGGATCCCGACCTTCTTGCCGCTACTTTGTTCGGACCCTCGATGTCCTACGGTCATTTCTGATTATCCTGCGGTGCTTTTGTAACGTCGTCACGGCATTTCAACAGGTGAAAAGAGCCCCTGGTGAGTGGAGCGAATTGCGGCACTTAACGCCAGTACGAGAGGTTCCCAAAAATATATCTTAAAGATATTTCCTGCTAATACGACCATACTCATTGGACGTTTTACGGTGGCGCACGTTTCATGTTGCCCGCGGTTATTTGCAGCCCAATCGTGTGGCACTTACATAAATACCTCGTTCTCCCTAATAAGTTTGCGTTGCAGATGCCAGCTGAAGGCTGGAAAAAGCACAGGTAGATGGAGTTCTGAGTTCCACATTCCCCAAATCAGATACATTTTATTTTGAAAATTTATATCTGAATTATCTGTACTTTTATACTTCAATTTTTGAGTTGAGCAAGCTAATTAATTTTTAGCAAGCTAGTTATTTTTTATTTGCTAACACTTTTCGTTTACTTTATATAGCAGATATTCATTCAACAAGTAAGGATGTATTCCCCTTCGTTTAGTTCAAGTTTGAAACTCATAAATAAGCGAGGAATCCAGAACGGGCATCTCCTCTTCGTATCTGTTGCAATTTGTTGATGCCTCCGCTGCTGCTGCTGTGGCTCGAAGAGCATTTGTTGAAGCGTGAAACAGCAGTTTCACGAGCCGGCTAAAAGAGGTGCAATTGTCGATCCCTTTGGCCCTTGAAAAGGATTGGGAATCGAGAGTACCCCAGCCCACTGGCACACCCGCACACTTCTGGCACTTTATCCATTGTCGATGCGCCGTTTAAATTGGTTCGTTTAACAGAATCGAAAACCAAAACCCAAGGCGGCATCAAATGAAACGAGCTCGAACGAGGGATTGGAAGGAAATAAAAGGGTTTTTCTTTTTTCTTCAAGTTGTGCGCATGCCCGGCCTTAAGTGCCCGACGTACTTGAGGATAACGACGAGTATGCGGAGGATAATCATGGCGGCGAAGATGATGATGTTGTTGCCGCTGCCCTGATGAGGCTGCTGATTTCGGCGTGATTTATGCATCTTAATTGAAATGATGGCTTACAAATTGTTTGGCACAAGTGCACCAAAAAGGGATAGGGACTACGTGGAAGGAGGTAGCATTCGAGTTTCAAGAAAGGAGTTCCTGGAAGGAAGGTTGTTGTGGCTTAGGAATGCCAACAACGCGAGACAGGACTTCCTGTTGGCAATCACTGTGATATTTATTTACTCAATCAGGGGTGCAATATTTTGGATAAAGGGTTTTTTATTCGGCTCAGGATTGAAATGGTTTGGTGGATATAATACAACTATTTTCCACTCCCCCAGCAATCATTGCAATACCAGTGACCTATTAAGAAGAATAAGAAGAATGCGCGATCGTTGGCAAGGTTCTGGCAATTTCCTAGCCACTTAGAAGATTAAAATCGTATAGCAACCTCTTGCTAACTACTTTCACACACAGCCAGTCCAACAGCCAATTGCACATCCACATCCAGAGGTATATGGTACATTCAATTTTCTAATAGCCGCCTCCCAATCAAAACTAAGGCATCGAACTTTTATCAATAGCTTCTCTCGCCCCCAAAATCTTCGAGTGGGTCTGTGGCCAGCTCTAGGCGCAAAACCAATTAAGCCGAGTATCGAAAACAAACACACTCACGGACGCAAAGGTGGAAACAAATAAGGAAGTATTCAGGAGGATCGCCGTCTGCGATCTGTGCTCCATGGGCCTACCGCCTTGCACCGGTAGCCCAGCTGAGAG